TCAAATCAGGCAGGTGCAGCATGCTCGGAGGGAGTGAACATCATGGGCAGACACTACGTGCAGCCCCTTCCTGGAGACAAAGAAACAGGGGTGCCTTTTCAGCAGCCTTGAATTGCCTCCCAAAGTCAAAAATGAATCTTGCCAGGAGGCCTCTTTCATAGTTTATTAATACGAGCTCTCAGGATGTTGGAGTTGGGAAATCATTATGAAACCTTCAGAGTAAAGATTGGTTCAGGCAAGAATTATCAATAGGATGCTAAATCCAGGGGGAAGTTTAGATGCTTGTATGGTCTTAAATTGCTTATTCGTTGCAAAGAATAAAATAGTAACTATATGGTGGGGAAATTGAACAACACCTTGACCAGTTGATCAAAATGAAGAAGGGGCAGATTGACATTGTGTGACTCTAGATGTAAAAGCCTGAGAACAGCACAGCATCACTTAGGTAGCATTCTGACCTGGAACGCATAGCCCAAATCCACAATGACAAAGCAAATATAAACCCAACAGGAAAGGCTATGGGAATATTTCAGATTAAAGGAGACTAAAGAAACAAGACGATAAAATTTAATACATTATCCCAAGTTTGCATCCTGCATTGGTAGGAAAAAGTGTTCCAAAGATCATTATAGGGTTAACTGACAAAATTGGAATACAGAAAATGGATTAAAGATGTTATATTAATACTAAGCTTACTGAAGTTGATAACTAACCTATGGTTACACAGGTGGTTCTGTAAGAGAACAAGAAAAAGAATACCCCCTCTTTTAGGACAATTACACTGAAATATTTCAGGGTAAAGGACCACAATATATACAACTTATTTTCATGTGGTTAAAGAATGCATAATTTGAGCTGGTCAGGCACAGTGGCTCACGCCTGTAATCCCAACACTTTGGGAGGTTGAGGCGGGCAGATCACTTGAGGTCAGGAGTTTGAGACCAGCCTGGTCAACATGCTGAAACACCATCTCAACTAAAAATATAAAAATTAGCCGGGTTTGGTGGCTTGTGCCTATAATCCCAGCTACTGGGGAGGCTGAGGCATAAGAATCATTTGAACCCTGGAGGTTGAGGTTGCAGTGAGCCGAGATCGTGCTACTGTACTCTAGCCTGGGCAACAGAGCAATACTTCATCTCAAAAAAAAAAAAAAAAAAATCACACACATACAAAGAGAGACAGAGAAAGAGAAAAAGAGATGACAAATCATAAAGCAAATGGATTAAATGTTAAAAATAGAGGAATCAGGGTACACTTTGTACTGTTCTTATTCTTGTAACTTTTCTGTGAGTTTGAAATTATTTCCAAGATAATCTTCTGGCCAAGAAGTGAGAAAAACAACAAAGTGCTGGCTTGTGTAAAATCTTGGGAGGCACCAGAATCTTTGTCCGCACTGTAACATCCCTGAAGGTAAGGCAAAAATGGGGGTGAACTTGCACCCCTATTTTTGGGGAGCACACACATGGGGAGCACATAAGAGCACACTGAGCTCCCATGTGCTGCCCCTTAGAACTCTTGCGGGCCTCCAGAAACCACCCCAGAAGCCTTAACATGCAAAGCACCACCACAGAGCAGCACAACTGCCTAAGAATGTCTGGTTGCTTAGCAACCCAGACTCCTACTTGACTAGATAAAGCAAAAGGCTTCCCTCTGGGTCGCAGTATTGATGCACTACACTGAGAATGCCTCTGTTGGTCAAGTTTTAGGTGAGACTCTGGCCAGAGTCAAGTCTAGGTTCTGAACCACAGAAAGCAGCATCCATGGCTCTAAGGGCTCGAGCCAGGCACAAAGCCTGGGGATCTAGAAATTCAGCCTAGTAAAATCCAAAGCAAACAGACCTTTTATCAAGTCACTTCAACTCTCCGAGCCTCAGTTCCCTCATGGGTAAAAAGAGACAGCTGGTAGAGATCCGTGGTTCTCATATATAGCTGAATTTCAAGACGACCTGATGAGCTGGTAGCCAACCATATTCTTCTACCAATGAGATCAGAATCTGTGGAGGTGGGACCCAGGCATCAGTTGTAGTTGTTTTTTTTTTTTTTTAAAGCTCTTCAGATGTTTCAAATGTGCAGGTAGGTTTGAAGGTGTCCTTCCAATATTCAGGTGTTGCCAAGGTGATAGTGTAAAGAGGTGGGGCCTTTAAGAAGCAATTAGGCCATGAGGGCTCCTCCCTCATGAATGATATTAGGTGCCCTTATAAAGATGCTTGACAGAGGAGGCTTGACCCTTCTTGCCCCTATGCTGTGTTAGGACACAGCATTTCTCCCTACCAGAGGACATAGCCCTCCCTTACCAGACAATCAAGCCTGCTGGCACCTTGATCTTGGACTTCCCAGCCTCCAGAACTGTGAGAAAATAAATTTCTATTCTTTACAAATTACCCAGATCATGGCATTCTATTATAGCAGCACAAATGGAGTAGCACAGCCTATTAAGTCTATTATCTTTGTTGGTACTGTTACCTAAAAGGGTATCTTGAATCCTGGTCTCTTCTTCCCTCCTTTTCCACCAAGTGGAGCCCTGTGACCCCACACAGCTCTGCCCTACCCCTAGCACTAACCCTGACTCAGGTTAGGTCTCTCGGTCATCTTTGCTGCTTGTTCAGCCCCTTCTTTCTTGAGGCTCAGGCCTACCTTGTGCCTGTCAAGAACTGAGAAGAGCCTGATATTTTATAATACTTACAAGGTAACAAGTTAGCCTGCAATATTTTCATGATTACTCATAGAAGACATGAGACTCCTGGGTCAGAGACAAGAGGCAGTTTACTACTTACAGTAATTGCAGCAGCCAGTGTATCATTATTTTTTGCACCCGTTCCCTAGGACCCAGTATCTACAAGGCAACATAAAGAGGGCCAGATGGCATTTGCACACACAGTGGGTTGTATTAGAAGATAGAAACCCCGAACTTAGGAAATTTAAATCTTTATAAGGGTCAATAGCTATGAATGCTCTTTGCTCCAGAAAGAAATACAATCTCTATTTTCCATGCTGTTCACTATACAAACACCCTTGAAAAGATAGTTCAGAGCCAAAGGAACTTGGTGCTTGTCTCCAGGATGTGCAGAAATGGGAGAGATCTGTGAAGGACTGCCTCTCTTCACACCCTATGCTCGAGCCCCTGACTTGCTCATCTGCTTGCCCTTGCTAATTCAGAGTGTCCTACCTCTGAACCCCAATTCCCCAATGGATAACTACCTATGGCCATGCACGTGAATTGCTCATGACCATAATTCCCTAGATTACTTCTCTCCAAGCTTTCTTCTCAGGCAAATGGGTGCCCAAGTCTCTGACCCCTGGTGGGAATTCTCCAAGCTAGAACAGAACATAAGAATGTGTGGAGCTAGCTGGAGGCTGCAAAACAATGAGCCAGGGAAGACAGTAAGAATATCATTCAGGTTAAATGGAGGGTTGCAAGCTAATCACATAGTCCAAATCACTAGCTCTCAAACTTCAGTGTTTGGGTGTTGAAGCTGTTTCATAACTTCAGAGTGTAGCAGAATCACTTGGAGAGAGTGCTAAAACACAGATTGTTGGACCCTAACACAAATGTCTCTGATTAAGCAGGTCTGAGCTGGGGCCTTGCAAATATGCACTTCTAATAAATTCCCAGGTAGTGCTGATGCTGCTCTGGTCTAAACTTTGTCCATCCAAGGTAACCGGGCTGAGAAATGACAGCCAGATTGAGAGCAATGAAAGGCCAAGTGGAGGAGGTAACAGGAAAGTTTAGGAGAACCTAAAGGGATATGATTCAGACATGCAACCCAGAGGCTGGACACTTCCTATAAAGCTCCCTCAGCCTTGCCTGTGGGTCAGGGAGAATGTTATTATAGGGTCATTTCAGACAGTGGGATGTAGGGCTTCCATCATGTTGACTACTCATTACCCCAGATGCTGTGCCTCCTGTTAAACATGGCTCCTTCCAGTGTCTGTGGCTGGCTCTGCTCTTAGGGTCTCATCCTACCCCACAGGGAGACCTTGTTGGAGTTTCTGTTCCTCCCAGCCTGCCTGCTCCCAGTCAAGTTAACCCAGACATGCTAGTTAGCCTGTTTCCCTGCCCCACATTTATAGCTCATACACACCCACCAAATTCATTATTCCCCTGTCTCTGCTCTGTACTCAAGAGGCTGATACCCTCACAGACTACAATACCTGGGCTACCTTATGGCCTGTTTCCAGTTCCGTCTGGCTAATGGGACACACTGGCAAAGATCAAAGGATGACAGATGAGTTTCAGCTGTTCACTCTCATCCTTTCTCCTCAGAGCTGTATCTCTTGCAATATTTGTATCCCATACTGTCTCTTCTGCTGAGTGGCCCCAGCTCCACGGTACCAGCTTTAAAACTGGAATATCATTTCTGTAAAGCCATTTCCTCCTCTTGTCCCTTCAGTGCTTGGGGTGGTTTCAGGTGCATCACTACCCATCACCTACCTGTTCCCCTAGTTCTGCCCACACTGCTGTAAGCAGTTCCTTCACTGAAGTCTCCTAAACCTCTGAGCAAATCCTGTTTCTACCCAGGACCCTGACGGACATACTCATCTCACCTGATCATACCCGAAGGTATACCATAGCTCCTCTCTGCTGGATGGAGGTACCTGAAGTGGGTCCTTCTCAGGAACAGAATTGATAAAGTTATAGCTCCCTATAACTTCCTAAGAATCCATCCCGAACTCCACCCCACTCCGCAGGGCTCCCCTAGTGATAAGATGGCAGCAAAGGTGAAGCCACAGCAGACGTGACTAAGGTCTTGTCAGCCAAACACTGGTGGGCTCCTCTCCCCAGATAGCTTCCCTCAGTGCCAAAGAGCAATATAGCAAGGCTTCCTCCCAAGAGCAAATGTGCTCCTAAGGCCCTGCTAATAGTTTCCCAAAGTCTTGTCAGGAACAGGAGGCTGGTACCAGCAGCAGTCCCGAGTCTCTGATGTTGCCATGGTAGCAGTAGGGTCACTGCTTAGCAACAGACCAGAGCCGCAGGAAGTTGCTAAGGTATTTTCACATGTGTTAAAGCAAATGGATGTTTATCTCAATCTTGAGTGTAAATACACTGTAGAGAAAAAAAGAGAAAACATATACACACAAACCACCTACTGATGTTCAGAGCTGCACGTCTGCTGATCCTTGAGGCCTGAAGCATATGCCTTCTCTCTGGAGGAAACAGAGAGACCATAGGTGACCCAATGAAGCGCATCCTCTTACCCCCTAAAACAACCGTTCACCTGTCTTCCCACCCACCCAGGCTGAAAACCTTCCTCACCACTTAATTTCCAATAGAATTTCCAAATTTTTCTCTTAAACGGCTTTTGAGAGGCCATGTGGCAAACTAATTAAATGTATGGACTCTAAAGCCAGAGTATGTGGGTCCAAAGCCTAGTGTTGGCCCCCTCTTTCTCTGTTATTTTGGACAAGTCACTTAACATCTCTGTGCCTCAACTTTCTCATCTGTAAAATGGGTATAATACTAGTGCCTACCTTACAGGATTATGTGAGGATTAAATAACTTCTTCCATGTCAAGCACTTTCAGCAGTGCCTGGTACACACTGAGGGCATTGTTAGGGATAGCTATTAGTAACATTCAGTGATATCATGGATACTTTTCCATTTGCCAGGCTTTATATAAAGAACGAAGCATGTAAACGTTAGCAAGAAATTGGCCCTGTCTTCATGGGGTCCACAACTATTCCAGTGCCAGTGTGGCAATGGTAAAGACCCAACTCTCTGGATGGTTATTCAAAATACCCCCAAATACTGGCCTTGTCTCCTTAAGGAGTAATTGTGAGGTTTAAATAAGGTAATTCATGTAAGAGCTCAGAATGGTGTCAGGCATACAATACGGGCTCAATAAAAGTTACCTATTACTACTAAAATTCTTTTATTATTCCTCCCCACAAACCAGCTGCAAACTTGTCTGTGTTCAAGCCCCTAAATAAACTCATGCACTCCCACAACTGGGTTCTTCTTGACACTGCCCATGACCACCTGGAACACCTTCCCCTTTCCACCAGTCTCATGTCTGCATGACCTGCAAGACCAGGTTCTGTCATACCTTTTCTTGAAAGCCCCTCATCTACTCCACACCATGCTCACCCCTCCACCCGAACTATGTTGAAACTCCCGTGGAGGTCAGTGTTTCTTCTTCCTTGTGTTTGTATTTTGCTTTCTAAGCCAGATCACAAGCCCTCTGTATGACACTCTTCTTATGGATCTTCTCAGATCCCCTCAGCCTCATCTGTCTTGGGCCCTTTACCACTGTTCCACCTCTATTGTCACCAGGGATCAGCGCTGCACTGCTGTGACCAGGCAGCAGTTCTACGGTAACCAGCTCCATCCAGCAGCCACCCAGTCACCATGCCGGCTCCTAGGGCCACTTTACTTCTGCAAAGGAGACACAATGCATATGTGATCATGGAATTCACCAGTCTTACTATGGCCCCCATCATCCAAAAGCAGCATACTGAAGGAATGGCAGAATGAGCAAAGGCACCTGCCCTGTAACAACACACCAAAGGGTTAGGACACAATCATCGGTGATGTGGTATGTGCACTGAGCAGTGATGTTGGCATAGTATATGGTGCTGTGTCCAAAACAGCAGGGATACACAGTCGGGGAACCAAGGAGTGGATGTAGGACTTGCCTCTCTCACCCTCCTTCCCACTCACTCATAGAGTTTGTGCAGTCTATAGTCTGGACCCTGCTGGATAAGAGGTCTGGTTGTCAGGGAAGAAACCCTTCGGCCAGGAAGGTTCCACTGAACTTGAAGCTGACTACCACTTAGTCACTTGGCACACCTCATGCCAGTGGACAACACAGGGATTGTACTGGTGGGATTAATAACCCTGATTACCAGAAGAAGCTGTGGTTGTGGCTGCACAATTGGAGGAGGAAAGATTCTTTCTAGAACCTGGGGGTTTCAGTGGGGGCTTTTCTAGGTGCTTGAAACCCAGCAAAAACTATAAAGGGGCAATTGCAGCAACCATGGTTTAGCAAGGGAATGGCAAGCAAAGATAAATATAGCCTAGTTCTTTGCTACCCAAATGTGCCCACGGACAAGCAGCATCAACATCACCTGAGAGCTTCTAGAAATGCAGAAGTCCAGGTCCCTCCCCAGACCACTGAATCAGATTCTGCATTTTAACACGATTCCCGGCTGATTCGATGCACTTTAAAGTTGAAAAGCACACTCAGCAACCCACTGCGCAAGCAATCGAGCTGGAGGTGAGAGAAATCTAGAATCAGTAATGGAGGTGGTTGGGCAATGAAGATTCGTTATGGCCTAAAACCAGCAACGGGAGTGGGAACTGTAGCTTCTTTTCCTTATACTCTTCAGGGAGAGTGGCTGGTCCCTGCCTTGATGGAGAATTAATGACCGATTGCCGGTAGAAATGTGAAATGGTGCAGTTGCTTTAGAAAACAATCTGGCATGTCCACCAAATGGTAACATAGAATCACCCTATGACCCAACAATTCTACTCTTCCCAAGAGAAATGAAAACCTAGATTTCTATATGGCTGTTCATAGCAGTCTTATTCATAATAGTCAAAAAGTAGAAACAAACCAAATGTCCATGAAAATTATACAGGAGGATCCTTGGAAATTATACAGGATCCTCCCTTTCTCTGAGGAAAGGGAGAACAGGTAAAAACTTGCCCCAAGTCACACAGCCTGTTCTAAGTGGAAATTATACAGGATCCTTGATTTTTCTATCAGGATAAGGATGGAAATACAAAAATGCATAGAAAGTTGGTGTTGAGAAAGGACACTTAAGCTGGTGAGACAGCTGATAAAAATTTCTGCTGAAAAGTAAAGACATTTTCCCAGTATTTCCATGTAATCCTGGTGGGAAATCATCAAAAATCTAGGATAAGCATCCTAATGGAAATGTGGTCTGGAAAGATGGGCTGGGAGTCCCCTTCACTGAGCGGGAAGGAAGCAGGCTGCGTGAGAGAAGAAAGAATACTACGCACAAAAGCTTGCATCTTAATCTGACCTCAGAGAAGAGCGTGTATACCTGGCATGTGTGCCTTTCAGGGAGTGTCTGGGTTTCCTGTACCCCAGGCCCTGATCCACTACAGATACACAAGTACTTGATAAATCTAATTGGATTGTGTCTGTGCTGGAGCTAAACAGTCTCTTGCTGTTTAGGGAAACTCCATGTCCAGTACAACCCCAGTACCTAACAGAGTGCTTTACACTTAATGAGCATTCAATAAATATTTGTGAAAGGAATAAATGGCTAAAAATGAATAAGCACTTTGAAGCCTGAAGACAGGTTACTGCATGTATCTGTGAGACTTAACAGACAGAAATGAATTACCAAGCTTAACTCCTAAGGGAAAAAAGAAAGTAACTGACTGTGCTTTGGCCCCAAAAATGTTATCTCCCTCATCAACCATTACCACCAGCAATGAGGTGGGACATCTGCAATTTGGGGTCTGGGTTTTCAAAAAATCCCCCAGTTGCTGATTTGGGAGATGGCAACATAGAATCTTCTATCTAGAAGAGACCTCAGAGATCCCTGAGCTATTGAAGGAATAGAAGCCTAGAAGAACTGTCATTTGTGAGGATGTGACAAATGGCTGGGTAATTTCCCAAGGATAAGCTAAACCCAGACAGGGAGTTCATGCATCAACAGCAGTACCTACAATATCAGAAGTTTAGGAAATTGACACTGTGTCTGTCACACATTATTTGAACTGAATACTGGTTCTGGATAATTCGCTCCTCCCCAAAATGTGGATATATGATGATGGTTTTGCTGGGACACATTACAGAGGGAAAAAGAAATCTTCCCAAATACTCCTATGCAGAAGGTGCAAATTTCACACAAGTGACTCATGATGAAGCGCCTGCAGAGATCTACAGACCCAGCCCATTTCCCAGAACTGCCCCTCGAGAAACATTCCCAGGTCAGAACTTCAGAAACCTAGTCACCTACTGCAAGCACTAGCATGATAAGGGCAAAACTGCTCCCCAAGGAGAACTGTGCCCTTGGGCAGAGCAGTGGAGTGAATTAATTTCTAATAATGAAACAGTGAGCTACAGTGTTTGTCTACAAAACAGGCTTATTCATGAAGAGTAAATATGTCAACTAATTCAAGAGGCATGCTAAATCTCCATTGTTTTCTGAAGTTCAGGTTTCCTGGCTCTGTAAAATGTGATGCACGCCTTCAATGTGTGCAGCAGAATCTGTGAGATTGCAGAATGCCACATTAAACTCAGAGCTCCTGGGCTAATGAGGGTAAGTCCATTTTGCAGTAATGAATTGTTGGTAATAGCCCATCATGGAGCAGATGTCTCATCCATCATTGCCCCGGGAGTCCGACACTCTGAAGTACTCCCATCAGATAGGGAGGGGGCACAGCCCAGGGAGGCGATCCTCATCTCTGGACTCTGGAGAGCAGCCAATCCTAGGAGTTAGAATCAGTAGGTGCCTATCCAGTGTGATTTAAGGTCCCCCAAATCCTCCCTAACTCAAAATATGTCCCCACCCACCTGCCACAGCGCTTAAAATATCCTCCTTTGAATTTTCTGCTATTAAAATGTAAATATGTCACCTGGAAGAAGTAACACATTAAATTAGCATCCATTATCACTCATTTTCACATTAGGGAGAGCTGGGCCCTGAGGAAAGGGAGGAGGACAGGTAGTCCTTGATGGAGGGTGGCTTAGAAAGGAGCTGAGCAGGTCTCAGGTTGGTGGGGTGGGGCCAAGCTGGGGCACAGTGTGCGTGCCAGTGAACTCTTGCTCACCCCATCCTACTGACAATGTGGGTTTTTTAAGTGTGTGCTTCCTCAAATTACCTGAGCAACCTAAAGGGGAGAGACGGTAACTTACTTATCTTTGCCAGTCCCCAGGACCTCTTCAGGAAATGCTTCTTGAATAAGTAAATTTCATCCTCACAACCCCCCAAAGGAAATCAGAGAAGGGATCATGGCCATTTTATAGTTGCAGAATCAGACTCACGGAGGCCCATTTTCTTGCCCAAGCACATGGGACTGAAGAGGAGCAAGTTCTGGATAAACAAAGCGGCAGACAAAGTATATGTTTTTATCTACAGGAAATTGTATTTATGTGGAAACTAATGTGAAGTAAGAATAGAATAGGGCCACATTTTGGATGCCTTTCAATGTCAGCCTGAGACTTTAGGGTGTTATTCTGGGAACTTCTGAAAGTTTGTTTAGTGATCGAGAATACAGGAAGCAGAAGGATACAGAGAAATATGCAAAGTGATATTTTAGGCAGGTTATTGGCATACAGGAAAACAGGATGGGTTGGAGAATCAGTAAATTAAAGACTAGTGAAGAGATTCTTCATGTGAATCAGGACTGGGAAGGTAGCAGTGGAAATAGGAGGGACGTAGGAAGATGTATGTAAGAGACATATAGATAACAAATAGATCAGATAACAAATAGATCAGTTGCAGTGACTGGTTGGAGAAGTGGGTAAGGAAGAAAGTGGATTGAGGGACGTTGACTAGATTTCAAACCCACTTAACTGACAGAAATCGACAGCAATGAGAAATCTGGAGGAGAAGCGGGTTTTGATGGAGGATGGTAAGTTTCATTGCAAACATGTTGAGTAAGGTGACAATGGAACACCCAAGTGAAGATGTGCATGGGGCTGATAGAAACTTGATGTCAAACCTCAAAGAGATTTAGTAGAAGCAACAAAAATAGGTGAAATCTCTGAGAAAGGGTAGAAAATGAGTCAGAGTCAGGACCTCCAGACATGTCCACTTATAAAGGATGAGTACAAAATGAAGGAGACAGAGTCGGACAGTGCAGTGAGAATTGAAGCCAAATAAGAGTGTTTCAAAAGGTAGAGGTGCCAGTGCCAGATGCTGCAGAAAGGTCAAGGAAAGTCAGGAGAAATTGCTATTGGGCTTCAAGAAGAGACTCTCTGGTTATCTTCAATAGCACAGTCTCAGACATGTGGAAAGTGCAGAAAAACACAAATGCAGTGGAGGAAGCATGGAGAAAAGGAAAAGATGGGAAGAGAAGAGAGATGGCTGTGCAGCAACAGTCGAACCAAGCATGACTGGCCTTGTTTTCTTGTCCCTTTCCATACAGGCAATGCTGAACCTCGATTTATGTGCAGAGAATGACTGAAATGTAAAAGACAGCAGGAGATACTGGGGAGGCATCAATTAGGAGCAGCAGGAAGGGAGGGGCTGGGATGTACAGGGAAGGGTAGACAGAAGAAGGCGGGAGTCTAGGTTGAAGAAAGGGAAAGGGGCAAGCAATGAGGTGAGTCCAAACAGATCATTTTCCTGGAAAAATCAGAAAAACATGTTCCCAGGGTTGAGCCTATAAAAAATAGTAGACTCCCAGGGAACATGAGAGGGTTCCAGACAACAAACGACTGGATTCAGATGCTGTCAGGATTAATCTAAAGCAGGAGAGGAACAAAACTCATTTCCAAAGGAAGGATCTCATCTGTGTGTCTCTGACAGCCCAACTGATGAAATCTATACCTAGAATTACAAGGCCATTGAATATCAGCGCTAGGAAGGCCCTGAGGCATCATCTGAGCCAACTCTCTCTCACTTCACCAACTGAGAAAATAAGGCCCAAAGGGGGGAAGTAAATTAATCAAGAAAATGCAACTAGTTAAAGGTCAAACCTGGACCTGAATCTAGGCCTCTTAGCTCCTGGTCAAGTGCAATTCTCACCAAATAGCAACTCTATGAGCTGGATTTCCCAGTATAAGATTGGGTCAATTTCAGTCTTATGTAATTTCTTCTTTCCAATAATGATTATGTTATTTAGATGTGTGCATAACAAAGTGATTTCATTTTTGTACCTTTGCGTGGTTTTTCATATTAAAAATTTGAAAAAAGCAATAAATCAGGAATAGAAAATATTCGTCAGATCATGCCTCTCAATTTTTGGTTCTGCAAATATAGTCACTGCAATTGCATAGCAAAGTTATTAAAAGAGTAGCTGCGGAGTTGAACAGACCCAGCTGCAAAGCCAGGTGAGCCCCATCACTTACTATTTGTGTGACATTGAATGAGACCTTTAACCTCTGCTGGGAGAGGGTGGCAGAAGGAAGGGAGGCAAAGCGGTCAACCACTCTGTCATCATGGTCCTTAGCATGGAGAAAAGCAGCAGTGAGACCCAAAGAGCGAAGCCGCCAAAGCTGCTGCTAATACCTGTTTCCCTTTGGAATAATCCCAGTGTTTTGGCCAGAGATGATTTGAAGGCTTTTTGAGAGGCACACCTGAAGAGAAAATGTAATTACTTTTTCCTGCACTTGAATTTCCAGGCAGTGTCCTTTCAAAATAAAAAAGTCACTCGAGGGGTGGAAAGGAGGAGTAGGGGAAGAAATGAAGGACAGAGAAGGGCCATCCCCGCTGAAGCCAGTGACATTTCACCAAAGCTACTCCCTTTGGGAGCAGCTGGTGCAAATGTCACTCAGCGAAGACAGCAGGGAGCAAGAGAGAGCTGTGGGTTCTGCAGGAAATAACATGATCCACTCCTACTCCCACCAGCCACCCCACCCCAACCCCCCAAACCCTGACCCTCTGGAAAGCAGTTAGACCAGGCACTTAACTGATGTTATTGACCTTTGGGTGGCTATAAACATCTTGTAGCTATTTGACTGCAGTCATGATGAAGCACATATCCAACCCCAGTAGAACTGTCCCAATGTCAGCCCTGGGGATCTCTATCCACAGGAGGCAATGCCCTGACCTCCACCTCTCCCATGTAGACCAGTGGACCAGAAGGGAGTGTGCTGTGCAGTTTCCATGGGATGCTCATTTCCACCAGAGCATCCCAGGAGAAATGCAGCTGCTAATTATTAAAGAGTTGATCTCTACAACAGACAACCCTAGGGTTCTTTAAGTTGATCATTCTGGGGCATGATAGAAGGAAGGAGAAGAACAAAGAGAATTAAGCCAACCCAGGGTTGAGTCCAGTTCTGCCACTTATTATATGACCTCGGCAAGTTACTGAACCTCTGCGCTGCCTCAGTTTCTTCATCTGAAAAACAGGCATACTATTGCTCACAGGGGTTTAGGAAAATGAGATGTAATTGATCACAAGTTCCTGGCTGTGAGGAGGTACTCAACAGGCAATGTTACATATACATATCTGTTAAGGACACATCAAGTTCATGCACACCGACAAAAGAGCACAGGTCCCTGGCCAAGCTCTCAAAGTCACCATGCAGAAGGATGAACATTCATAAAACTCCAAAAGGCAGGAGGAGACCTCTTTGAGGCTAATGATGTTCCCAGATAGTGGCTGTGTTGTCTTCAGGAGTGATGAAATCTTCAGGACTAATGGACAGTTCTGTGGCCTGAGATACTTGACCCACTGGTAAAACTACTTCTTAAATATCTCTTTTTGTTTTTCATTTACTTGCAATATATTATATATGCCTCCACATACATTCAAAAACTATTCAACACAACTCTGTATGGATGTGAAATCCACTTGCTCACCCAGTGTTTGGTACATACATGGCCAGTGCTTACTATTGAGTGACCCTCAATGCCTTTATTAGGTCTTTTCTGAATATGCTGTCCACATGCCGTTCTGCAAGGAGTCCTAGCCCTTTGAGAAAACAGTGGTGTCCACAGTAAACTGAGGCTTTATTACCAAATTATAAGGCTGGTTCTTATGAGGACTCTAGTGGACAAACTCAAATAAATAACTTTGGAAAAGATTAAGTTTAGAGTAAATTTTTATCAAAAATGAATAAAGGTAGTCATGAGAAAGAGAAAGTCAAGTGGAAAGAAAACTTACTGAACCAGTCAGAAGTGAGGGTTTCTTCATTCTGGCAAAGGCAGGTGACCCGTGTAGTTCTGTTTCAGGGGCAGAGAAGAAAAATTGCTCAACAAACTAAGGCTGCCTCTTTAGTTTCCAGAAAGCAGTCATATATTGACTTTTTTTTTTTTTTCAGACAGAGTCTCGCTCTGTCGCCCAGGCTGGAGCGCAATGGCGTGATCTCAGCTCACTGCAAACTCTGCCTCCCAAGTTTAAGCCATTCTCCTGCCTCAGCCTCCCCAGGAGTGGGATTACAGATGCCTGCCACCATGCCTGGCTAATTTTTTTTGTATTTTTAGTAGAGACAGGTTTTCACAATGTTGGCCAGGCTGGTCTCGAACTCCTGACCTCATGATCTGCCCGCCTTGGCCTCCCAAAGTGCTGGGGTTACAGAAGTGAGCCACCACATCCGGCCCATATATTGAATTTCTACCTGTCAGAGGCTCCATGCTGTGTGTAGAATGGTAGAAAACACAAGGGCTTTGTCTCAGAGCAGAGCAGAATTCAAATCCTAGCCTTAATACTCACTGTGTACACTTAAGTAAGTACTTACCCTTCCTGGACCAAAAGTTTCTCACCTGTAAATAAAAAAAAATGACTGGAATCCCCAAAGCCATGCCCATAATCCAAAAAGATTTAAACCTAATATTGAAAATTTAGGGTGAATTGAAAGACGCATTTTATTCGAGGATATAATGGTTGGGTTTTATTTGATATTTTTTGTTTTGTTTTTTTTTGTTCTGTGTTTTTCATTTGTTTTTAATAGAGAACTCGATATTTTAAAGAAAGATCTTTTCCTTACAACTAAACATGTCTTTGGGAAGCTAAACGCTTGACACCTTAACACAATAAACAAGGTCTCCTAATTGAAATCAAAATACCTAAGAGGGAATAGACTGGCACTTGAGTGCTGACTGGCATGCGTGACTCTGCAAAGTTCAAACTGAGAAGCAGCTTTCTAGCAACTGAAGTTCCTCGACAACGGAACGCATTCTTTCCCCACAAACCGGATTTTCTGTGTCTCCTCCAGGATCTTCTGGAACACTGTAGGCAAAGACTCCCGGAACACCAGGAAGGTTGACTGCAGGGTCCTCATCTACACATTCGGTTACTGCCGATGCTTGGAGAGATGCAACCCAGTTACAGAGTCACCCGCCACATACAGAGAGCTGGGAAAAGGGAATCCAGCCTAACTATGTTTTCTTGCAAATTAGGTGCTGTGACAACTCAGGCACTGAAACACACAGACACAGTATCTGTGTTTAATTAACTAGCTGGAGAAAACAAATGTGAATAATTGATTGATGCAGGAGAACGAGGCATCAGGAAAATACCCAGCAGAGGGCTGCCAGCCAGTTCTCCCTCTGAGGCAGTGATTAGCGTTCCACAGCTCCCAAAAGAAACTTTAGCAGAAATCATTGTAGCTCAAGCTAGGTGCATACCCTGGACCTGTGGGGCAGGAAGCAATTGAGGATGCATTTCTCAGTTGCTCTAATTCTCCGCATGGGCTAGCCCTGAGCCTCTCTGGGTTTTGCAGGCAGCTCATATCACAACGGGCATGCTGCTCTGACCCCTTTACCAAGGAACTGTAAGGCAATGAGCTGGGAAAGAGGCCCAGAAAAGAAGTGGCAAGGAACAAGCAGCCCTGCCACTGGGGCCTTTGACTCAGTAAAGCCAGCCAACCTTGCCTTAAGTGTCTGTGGTCAGTCAAGAGGCTGTATGGGACCTCTGGAAGCCCCAGGAAGAGAATCACAGTGCGGACCTCCAGCAGCCCTCTTTGTTAACATTTATTCTTCTTCTGAGAAGCTGTTCCTGGCTTGCTACAGGGCCGTGGCAGAGACTAAATGCCTAACCATGAGACACTAACTGCCCACGGGACCTGAGTTACCCATCATGAAATGGGTGCTATCCAATCCTCTGAAGCAATAAAGTCGAATGTGTATGACAGCATTCCACACTTAAAGGAAGAAGCACATTCAAAAAGCTGAAATTGGCAGGGCGTGGTGGCTCACACCTGTAATCCCAGAGCTTTGGGAGGCCAAGGCGGGCAGATAGCCTGAGGTCAGGAGTTTGAGACCAGGCTGGCCAATGTGGTGAAATCCCATCTCCACTAAAAATGCAAAAATTAGCTGGGTGTGGTGGCGGGCACACCTGTAATCCCAGCTACTTGAGAGGCTGAGGTAGGAGAATTGTTTGAACCCAGGAGACGGAGGTTGCAGTGAGCCGAGATCGCGCCACTGTACTCCAGCCGGTGAGACAGACCGAAACTCCGTCTCAAAAAAAAAAAAAAAAAAGCTGGAATCACAGTGGTCCTGCCCAGTGGGAGCTGGAGCCACAGATGAGAAGAAGCTGTTGCCAGAGACACAAACAAAGGTCACTGTAACCCTTTATATCCAGGGTCCCCCACAATACACAGTCCCCTCTCTTCTAGCTGGTAAGTCATACGAGGACCAACAGTTCTCACATAAAAAAGTAGAGCGGTGATGCTCAACTGGGGTGAATCTGCCTCCAATGTCTAAAGACGTTTTTGAGTCTCATGGCTAAGGAAGTGCTACAGGCACCCAATAGATAGAGGCCAGGGATGATGTGAAAAATCCTACAGTACACAGGCAAGCATCTCCCCTATCACAACAAAGAATTATCTGGCCTAAAATGTCAATAGTGGCAGGGTAGAGAAACCTTGTTGTAGAGAAAGGGAAAGAGAAAGAGAAAAAGGGAAGCAGTGATTATTATAGGTCATAGGTGGCATTCTTTTACTACTCACCCCACGCTTCCTCTGTGCGCATGTTAATATTCCAGGGCATAGGGATCATACTTTGCCCAGATCCTCAAGGGGGTTCTGTTGTCCAGAAAGGGCTTAAGAAGCTCTTTTCTAAGCACTCACTTGTATCACCCTACTTCTGCCCCAGACCCAAATCCCAGGAGACAACAGGTATAAAACACTCCAGGAATGCTTCTCCTACCACCCACCAATGTATTCTAGAGATCCCAGAGGGGCAGATTTTTTACCAAAGTCAGTTTCATCTGTGCAAAAAGTAAGAATGTCTTACATTTTCCTTACACACCTACTCTATATCTGTCAAGTCAGTATTACAAATTTTTTTCATTTGTCTATTCAACAAATATTTATTGAACACTACTGCTTGTTATAATGGTAAAAAAAAAAAAATTGAAAAAGACCAACAAGGCTGTCTTGACAGGGCTTATGACCTCTGGTTCTATGATTGTCATCATTATTTTTATTACAGGCTTATTGAAGCCAGGAAGAATTCACATTTCACCTGGGTCTTTCCCCAAGGATCTGTAGTTCCCTCAGATTATCTCCCGCCCTGGGCCTGACCTGCTCAGAACCTATTAGTTGGGAGAAAGCATCGTGCAACATCCTATTGTTTGTCACTGTATAGAGGAGTTTTTTCACAACGTATCCAGCATTCTGTCCCTGGGTTATGAGTTACCTTTCTGTTCTCTGCTTAGCCTGGGACTCTAAAGGACGTAGAGGGAAAAGGCCAAATGCACTCACTTAAAATGAAAACAAAAATGCCGATGTCCTTCAAGAGGTCAGAATACCCTTGCTCTAACTTTTAAAGGCCCCTTCCCCTGATATTCTTCTGTGGCCACCACAGGACGGAATGGCTTTTTCCTACAGGGTCCTAAGATTGTTCCACAGTGGTAGCTTTGAGCTTGAGCCAATGCCGAGCCCACTTCTGGCTTCAGTTTGTCTAGGAATGCCTGGTGACTGAGTGGCAACCTGCCAGAGCTCTTCTCCATGAGGGTATGAGAAGTCGCCTGGGAAAGAAGAGCAGGGGAATTGAAAAGAGCTGTTGCAGAAGTCCAGTTTAAGCGAGAGACATCTACAGTATCTGACACTGCTCCTTAGCTCAACTTCCATTCCCTTTCCTTCTCATTCCTATGGTGGTGCCTCCATAATTGTTGTTACCTATTGGGCTTTCTACCATCTATCTTTTTTACCTTGTGGTCAATGTCATAAAATGGCATCCCACTATCCACTTTATCTCAGAACACTTTATACTGTCCTTTTGTGATTAGAGTCAGAATTTTGGAATATTTCACTTTCTTGCATTTATTACTAATTCAAACAGTATTTATTGAGCATCTACTAACATGCTAGGCATTTTTTTAGGCATTTGGAGTTTACATCCATAGATATAGGAGTAACAGAAAATAAACAGATAAACAGAGGTACAGAAACATCAATGAAGGGCAAGAGATAGAGAGTGATGGGGTGGGGATCAGGGTTACAGAGAGGCCAGGGGAGGCTCTCTGAGAAAGAAAGGCGCAGAAACTTGAATGGGGTAAGGGATAAGATATGCAAAACCTGAGGAGAAAACATTTCACGTGGAAAGAGCATGTGCAAAGACCCTGAGGTGGGAACCATGTGCGCGTGGTTTAGGGCCAGGGTGGCTGGAGCGAAGTAAGCCCAGGGACACATTATGAAATGAGGCCAGAGACATAGGCAAAATACAAATCACATCACATCACATGAGCCACAGTAGGATTTGGATCTTATTTTGGGTTTTTCCCCAGACACTCTGCACCACTCAAGGGCAGGGGTGAAGGAGCAGACTTGGGCTTAACCAGCATGGACTTTTTGCCACATGTGTAAAGGGAAGGGTGAGGCTAAGGGAATTAAGGATGTGCCTAGGCCTCAGGGTTGAGCACAGGTCCTCACTTCTTCTGCCCTTATGGTGAGTCCCCTCAGGACCTCCTTTCTCTCATGTCTGGAAACCTCAATTCAAGGCCATTGCAATCTGTCAGAGAAGTTCTAATACCACTGAACTTCAAAAGCAAAGGGGTTGGTCTAGGTCTCTTTTCCCAAGAAGCTCCTCAGCCCTTTGTGCACTCACCTCTTTCCCAGGAACCAGCTCTGCCCACCACGGAGAACAGGGAAAGGCCACAAGGATTGAGTTATCCCCAAGCCCCCAGGCAAAGGGGGGCCCCTCAGGAGGAATTGCCCCTGAATAAACAAGAGCAGCTCCACGTATTCTTCTCAGTCCACCTCGCACTGGCCAAGACTTTGAAGTGGTCTGGAGGCCCTGCATTAGCAGGTAGAAGTATGAGCTAGTAAAAACAAAAACAAAGAAAAAAATGCCCCATTTGTTCCCCTATCTGATAGAAGCCACAGATACCTGCGTTGCACTCTTTATTTTAATAGTATCCAACAAAAACCAGCCACTCTGCAATTTCATCAGATGACTTAGGCCTTGGCTTAAGGATATCGCTGTGCACGTGCAGAGAACAGTCAGAAGAACTGGTGCAAAGGAAGCTAAGCCTTGGCTTTGGCAGAGGAGATGAAACAGATGTGGCAATCATGACACTACCAAGTAAAGCATTGGTGGCATGTGTACGATTGATAGGCTGTTCCCTAGAAAAAGCAACTGCACACACGGTTGGCTCCAGTGCCCTGGCTCATAGCTCTGCATCCTCAGCCAGACAGCTGGTGTGTGGGCTCAGGCCGCCCTTCCTTGTGAGGGCTCTACCTGCCCTGCCTTCCCTGCTGCGCCCCTCAGCTCCCCTCCCCAGCCCCAATCAAAACCAATTTCCACTTCTTCCGAGCACTCATTGGAGACTAGTGCTAACCTGATAAATTAATTCAAGCTAATGCAAATTATGGTTTAATATGTTACCCTTCCCAGACAACATTTACATTTTTAAAAGGAGCTTCAGTTCCCTAAATCTAAATGAATGGGTATTGTGGGAACGTCAAGCCTTGTGGCAGGCAGCTATGGCGACTACGGGAAACAGTAGCACCTCTCTGGGCCTGTCTGAGGTCAGATGAGAAAGGTTCCATCTGCTCATCGTGATTATCAGGTGTCTATGGGCCAAGAGACACCAATGTCAAACCTTTCTCTGAAACCAGAAGATTTCTATCTTGAGAAAACATGCTTTTAATGTACTTAGCTATTGCCTATATGACTCTAATATATGCAGATGAGATACTTCTGTGCAATCAAAGTAAATCTATGATCGTGGTTTGCTTAATTTCCCCTTCTGCACCAGGAAATATGAGTTCCTGGAGGACAGAAAAATACAGAAGAGAAGGCACCTGCCCATCGTCAGCCCAGGAGACCTCTGCCTGGGACTATTCTTTAGCTAGAGGAAACAGCAGGCTGCTGCCAAGGCTGCTCCAGGGCCTTCCGTGTAGGTCTGGGTGGCAGGCAGGAAGGTATCAGGTGAGGTCTGCTCCAGCTGCCTCTACTCCTGGGAGAAGCAGAAGGGAGACCCAGGCTCCCCGAGGACCCAGCTACAGAAAGCAATTCTGCCATGCACCACATAACCCCCACCTCACCAGTGTTTTCTGGCATTATGTGAGCCTGTGCATCAGTGATATGGTTTGGCTCTATCCCCACCCAAATCTCATCTTGAATTGTAGCTCCCATAATTCCCATGTGTTGTGGGACTCAGTGGGAGATAACTGAATCATGGGGGTGGTTTCCCCCATACTGTTCTCATGACAGTGAATAAATCTCACGAGATCTGATCATTTTACAAGGGGTAACCCCTTTTGCTTGGCTCTCATTCTCTCTTTGCCGCTGTGATGTAAGATGTGCCTTTCGCCTTTTGCCATGATTGTGAGGCCTCCCCAGCCACATGAAACTGTGAGTCCATTAAACTGCTTTCTATTTGTAAGTTACCCAGACTCAGATATATCTTTATCAACAACGTGAAAACGGACTAATACAATCAGGGAATTAACCTTGGTGATGTCAACGTTTGTCATAAGGAGCCTGAAGCCTGAGGCAAAGATGGTAGACACAGACAATAAGCTCCCCTGCACCCCCACTTCTCTCAGCTTTCCTTGGTGTGTGAATGAGACAAAACCCATCCTTCTGTTTTTCCAGGCACTAACTGCCTGCCCACACATCCCAAAATGGAGAGGGGCTAACCCCACTGCTCCAGAGAAAGCAGACACCAGGACAAAGAGGGTTACTGCCCGAGACAGCCTACAGACCCAGACAGAGACCCAAACACACTTACCGTATGAGCAGCAGGCCGGGGATTGGTCACAATGACAGTGTCCTCCAAGGCTCACAGTGACCTCTGTG